CCGTGGCTCCTGCACCCCGAGGCCTCCCCTGACTGACCACGGCCCCTGCACCCCGAGGCCTCCCCCGACTGACTGTGGCCCCTGCACCCCGAGGCCTCCCTTGACTAACCTGCAGCCCCTGTAGCCTCCACTGACTGACCGCGGCCCCTGCAGCCGGGGCCTCGACACAGGGACCCGGGAGTCAGGACTCACACTCCGCAGCCTGCGGACCTGACTGTTCTCACAGCCCCCAGGCTCCCGCTCTGTCCCACGGCCGACGGCCCCTGCACCCCGAGGCCTCCCCCGACTGACCGCGGCCCCTGCAGCTGTGGCCTCGACACGGACCTGGGAGTCAGGACTCACACCCTGCAGCCTGCGGACCTGACTGTTCTCACGAGCCCCCAGGCTCCCGCTGTCCCTCGGCCGCACCGTCAGAGGCCCAGCCTCCTGCACCTGCACCGTCAGAGGCTCGGCCTCCTGAGCAGCGGGGACCTGGGAACAGCGCCCTGTGGACACGACAGCTGTCACGAGGGCACAGTTCCCCGGCTGCTGGAAGGGGCTGGCCATGGTCCTCACCAGCCCCCTGCAGGGGGACAAGCTGTCCTCATGGCCGAGGGGCAGGACCTGCCTCCTGACATTTGCCTGCAGTGGATTTGCTAAGTGACAATCAAGCCCTGGAGCATCGAGTGGCAGCTCCTTACCCGGGATGCATCCTTGTCATTCCTATGTAGCTGGGACTCAACTGCCCGGAGCCCCATTCACCTCCCGGGAGGAGACAGATGGAGGGAGGGGAGGAGGGGACCCTCCCCCCACAGTAGGTGACCAGTGAATGCACAGCAAGGTCTCGTGTCCCTGGCCCCTGGGGGGTCCCTAACCGAGTAGAGCAGGACCCCGGGAGGGAGGGCGAAGCTCGGTGCACACGCCAGGCCAGCGCCTCAGCCACGGGAGGCAAACTCCATTTTACTTTAAAATGTTTTTATTGGTTTCAGAGAAGGGAGAGGAAGAGAGAAACATCAGTGATGAGAGAGAATCATGGATCAGCTGCCTCCTGCAGGCCCCCCACCGGGAATCGGTCCGTGACCTCCTGGTTCCTAGGTCGACCTCAACCACTGAGCTCCCACCTGGAGGTGATGGAAGTGGGTCTGTGGGTCAGGGCCCCGCCCCTGGGCTGGCTGGTGAGGAGGAGGGAGATGTTCGTGTCGTTGGGGTCAAGCCCGGAAAGGGTGTCTGACAGGGGCTGGCTCCTCAGGACAGAAAGTTGCTGAGCCACAGGGAGGGGGCCACCCAGACTGGCAGCAGCCGGAAGACACTGTTGCTGCACTGGAGGGACGGGGGACGGGGAGGGCCAGGCACCGGGGCTGCTCCGTGGTGGGGCCACCGGGGAGGAGCCTGAGTCAGGGCCCCCCTGTCAGCTCTGGGGACGCACCCCTGGCACATGGGAAGGAAGGACCCCCTTGCTGTCCCCTGCTGGGCGGGGCTCTGTGGACTGCAGCCCTGTGGGCACAGCCCCAGGGGGAGCCAGGCCCCTGCTCGCCCGCCCACAGCCCACCTGAGTCGCTCCTACAAAACCACTTATTGGGGGGAGGGGGGCCCAGGGTCAGCTGAGTGTGAAGTGCTGGGCGCAGAGGTCGTCACGCCGGCCCAGCAGGCCCTGCGCCGGGATGAACTCCAGAGGCACAGCCTCGGGCCCCTTCTTCTTCAGGTCTCGCTCGAAGATCTGCGAGGACAGACAGACGGACGCTCTCACTCAGGAGTTCCGAGCCCGCCCCACCTCCCCACAGCCCGGCCCTCACCTCGAAGGCGGTGAGCTCCAGGAGGGGCGCGATGCTGGCCTCGGGCACAGACAGCGCCTGGTTGATGACGCTGGCGGCCTTGGACACCTCGGGGTGGTAATGCGGAGCGCCTGCCTGGAGGGCACGCGGGCTTTTCTCGCTGGCTCACCTCCCAGCACCCCACATTGGGGACAGAGTGGAGGCTCCAGACAGAGGTCGGGGTGCCCCTGGGTAACCAGGGCGACAGGGAGGGCGGGGTGGAGGGAGCAGGGACATGTGGGTGTGGGGGCAGGTGGGCAGCTCAGGGTGGCGGGATGGGATGGGACCGGGCGGCCGGGCCTCACCTGCAGCTCCCACAGGCAACCTGCACACCAGCCCCTCCCGGCCCGTCTGCAGCCCCGGGGGCCCTGTGCCTCCTGACGCTCACGAGGACGACAGGAAGAGGTCGGCCAGATGGAAGAAGCGCGCCCGGTACTTGACATGGAAGACGGACGGGTCCAGGAGGCCGTAGAGCTTGCGGTAGAAATCGGGGTACTCCCTGTGGGTGTGGGAGTGAACGAGGGAATGAGGCACGTGGGGGTAAAAGCACGAAGCAAGCAGGCAGGTCAGGGCCCCAGGGAACCACAGCCCCAGGGGCTCAGC